ACCGAACAAAAATAGCTTATAGAGACACATTTATACTAAATATACATACTAAAAATTTTGCATTTATTTGACTACCTGACGAACATAAGGTACAAAATACCCCCGCCGCAGCAAACCTGCCGACTAAGCGAATTTCCATTTGTCTGAATTGATTTTCAGTTAAATATATTTTAATAACATTAGGTTTAACGAGTACCTAGGTTTGCTGCTACAAGGAAACTAATAAAGTGCGTTTTTGAGTAAAATATTGATAGCTTAGTACAAAATAAATAAATTTGCCAAGTTTGATCAAAATATATCCATAAACAAGCAAACTACAACATTTGACAATATTCTCCATAAGAATAACATGGGAATTTTAAATTTACAATTTCTTTAATTTTCTCCGTTACCAATAATCGAACAAAAATACTTTTATATACTAAATTATTTGTTTTTTTAAGCTCTTTAAAAAGGTCTAAAGAGAAATCGGAAAATTTTGTGTTTTGAGGGTCAAAAGTGAGAAAACCCAATTTTTACCCCATAAAACCCCCCGTAAAGCCCCGTTCCCATGGTCCGATCGTGCTGGTTCGCGAACTCATTCAAGTTTATCCCGCTTTACACCTTTAAACCAAATTTCATCAAAATCGGACAAAAATTACTCAAGTTATCGCGTTCACGGACGTATATATATATATATATATATATATAAGTCTATATATATATATATATATATATATACATATATACAAATTTGAACGGATGGTGTTTTTGGCCTCTGGGGACATCAAAATGAAAAAGTAAATCGGTCCCGGGTCTAGGTCTTACCGTGCCACCTACGGTAATAGCTACTTCCCTATATGGAAATTCGCTAACAGGATTTATACTGGTAAAACACTCTAAAAAAATTATTTCTAAATTAAAAGTTCGCATTTTGGTTACAACAAAGAAATTTGCTTCGTACCGTTAGTCAAATTCCCTTTCAATAATATTTGACAAAACAGTCTCAAACTTAATTTTCTTTTTCAATTTAAAGACTCAGTTTACTATAAATCTTTTTCAGCTATTATACTCACATTGTGTGTACCAAATTTATGTTTTGATAATTTGGGTGGTAGAATCCTAAAGGGAACATATACAAAATGAGCACAAATTAATAAGCCAATGAAAAATCCCTAGAGAGCTTTTATTAGTTGTTGAATATCATTTAGTTTTCAAACAGAACAAAGGCGTTCAACATTTTCAAATTTCACTTGTTCAACGGTCCTACTAAGTTCCCAAACACGCCTTACCCATTACGACCGACAGAGGCAACTCTGAAGGTCGTTTCATCACCCGCCGGACACTTCTATATTTACACCTTCCGGTCATCGTCCGCTAAAGTCTACTGTAGTAATCTTCCTATCTAACACCATCATCCATTAATGAGCCGATGTAATACCGACATAGTGGAGCGGTTTGCGCGATCCCACCCGTAACCTTTAAGCTGAATCCGGTTCTGAACGTATACAGCCTGAGCCGCCTACCAGCGCCAAGGACTCAGGGCGTGGAGCGAACTACTGATAATTGTCAAACAATAGCTGGCCGTTTACAGCTCATAATTATTGTTAATAACAAACGGTCTCCTGACGAGGGATATGAGTGTAGTGTATTCAGGTGGTGGGCGTAAAGTTGTGTGTGGGGATGAAAAGTCTGCCAAAGAGCAGAGTTCGACATGGTCACTGTTCTGTATAGCAATAACCGCTGCATAATTATTTTTGATGCTTTACACCATACGTTTGTCACAATATATTGAGGTGGTGAGGTGATATAAGGCACTGTTACAGTAAAGGTCAAACAGAAGAACTAGTGGTGACTAAATAGTGTTAGATGAAACACTCGGTTTTGAAAAAGCTAGTCGTACAATAAAGAGGATTGCTGTTTAAATAAAGGAGCCTCCGGTGGAGAATTCATATGGCGTGTGTGTGAAATTTGTATGTCCCGGGATTTAAAAGGATGCAGGGTATGGTCAGAGAGTTGTGTAGTCAGTACTGCAGTATTATCAGATACCGTGGTCAGTGTCCTGATGGAGGATGTAGCGGATGCAGGGTCTGGGGTCAGAGAGTTGTGTAGTCAGTACCGCAGTATCATCAGATACCGTGGTCAGTGTCCGGGTGGAGGATGTAGAGGATGCAGGGTCTGGGGTCAGACTGTTGTGTAGTCAGTACTCCAGTATCATCAGATACCGTGGTCAGTGTCCGGGTGGAGGATGTAGAGGATGCAGGGTCTGGGGTCAGAGAGTTGTGTAGTCAGTACTGCAGTATCATCAGATACCGTGGTCAGTGTCCGGGTGGAGGATGTAGAGGATGCAGGGTCTGGGGTCAGAGAGTTGTGTAGTCAGTACTGCAGTATCATCAGATACCGTGGTCAGTGTCCTGATGGAGGATGTAGAGGATGCAGGGTCTGGGTCAGAGAGTTGTGTAGTCAGTACTGCAGTATCATCAGATACCGTGGTCAGTGTCCGGGTGGAGGATGTAGAGGATGCATGGTCTGGGGTCAGACTGTTGTGTAGTCAGTACTCCAGTATTATCAGATACCGTGGTCAGTGTCTGGGTGGAGGATGTAGAGGATGCAGGGTCTGGGGTCAGACTGTTGTGTAGTCAGTACTGCAGTATTATCAGATACCGTGGTCAGTGTCTGGGTGGAGGATGTAGAGGATGCAGGGTCTGGGGTCAGACTGTTGTGTAGTCAGTACTGCAGTATCATCAGATACCGTGGTCAGTGTCCGGGTGGAGAATGTAGAGGATACAGGGTCTGGGGTCAGAGAGTTGTGTAGTCAGTACTGCAGTATCATCAGATACCGTGGTCAGTGTCCGGGTGGAAGATGTAGAGGATGCAGGGTCTGGGGTCAGAGAGTTGTGTAGTCAGTACTGCAGTATCATCAGATACCGTGGTCAGTGTCCGGGTGGAGGATGTAGAGGATGCAGGGTCTGGGGTCACGGCAGAGGCTAGTCTCTATTTGCATTCAATGGTTTCTCCTCGCCTCCACCATCTGTTCACTCACACCAGGAATCTGTCCGTGACCCTTCCCACCTGCTGTTAATCTAACGCCTTTTTCGCGGTTTCTGACACTTTATGTTGGCGCCAAATGTGTAACTATCTGTCACCATGTATCATGAACAAGCAATCTCGTGGGTTGTACCGAAGTAAATCTTTTACAGTTACAGTTAAATTCAGTAAATATGTACATCAAATGTTAACATTGCTAAAGGATTTTCTGGAATAATTAAGGCATTTGATCGTTTAATACTAATCCACCAATCTTTTCCGTTTCCTCAGTTCTACACTGTTATTTTAAATCCTAATTTTCCAGAAACTGTGTAAATAATCTGCAGCAGGGGATCAATAACGCGAACGTTTAGAATAATAAAATACATTCCTATTTAAATAAATACAATATCTTAAGCATTGCTTTGTAATCATATTCAAACGGTAAATTAGTACCAGACAAAGGTAGTTGCAGGTATTATACATTTAAATGAGTACTTGTAAATAAAATGTCCCTGATCTTTATTCAGCGCGACGGGAGTTCTGACGATATCGTTAAAACAAGACCGGAGCTGCCAGCTACCGCACCTTGATGACTAATTTGATAATTAATCCAAACAGATATTTAAATATGACATCATGCCTCCTGAACTTGACATTTGATGGAAATATAATGATGTCATTATTCGTGGCGGACGGCGAAAAATGTAATTATTTGTTAACGCTTCTACAGTATATATACGTAGAACCTGGTAGAACCTGACACCCAGAGGTATTTCGAGGCCAAGGTGCAAAGAGCCTTCTCTTCAGCCAACCATTGCATGAACATACTTACCCAACGTATCACAAAGAGCATAGAAAACTCATAGCGACCTTCCAGCATAAGACCAGAAAGAGAATCATCCATCAAACTGTTGTAAGCTCCTATTCATTTTATTTCCTTTTAACACCATTTGCTGGAATGCCATTGCGGTGGGCTTCTTTGTTACTCCAGCACCGACGAAACGTATCCAAAGACGATTAGAGGTGGAACGCTAAGATGTGTCTTATAGGTGTTTTCACAATTAATTTATGTTACCATTAACTTTTGTCACTTCGTATTCTGTCCTTCACAATGTCGATTAATGCTCTCCCTAATTCATTTCTTGTCCTAATTAATTATCTGGAAAACATTCATGTATATTTATGTCATGCATACGTCAATAGGTACACGCAGCGTACGTTTTTTTTACATTTATCGTTATTTGTTATCTGAACAAAGAACAAACAATAGTGTTGTTTGTTATTGCTTTCTGTGTTTTTCATAGCTTAACGTACACAATAACTGAGACTAACGACATAACATAGCTACTGTTTGAAGAGAAGTAAAGTAACTATCATCGAATTTGAAGTAATGGTGTAAAATTTAAACTAGATGGAAAGATGGAACACAAGGAACTGTAAATAAAATACTTGTGTGGTATTTAATTATTCATTCACATTTAGTACATAACACTCAAAATCTGTCCAGAGTGTTTTCATACACGTTGTATTTGATGGGTACTTTTGCCGTGATAGAAATGAAACTGATATGTGTGATCATTTTCAGTCTTGAAAATGAATTTTCATTCTCATTTTCAACTGAAATATAAACTGTGACTATGGCTGGTGAAGCATTTGTATTTGTGTATTAGCTGTAGTGCTTGTTATTGATTCATATGCGCGATTGCCGCGGCGCGCCGGAGACTTTGACGGTGGGGAAAGTAAAGTCCTTGACAGATTCCACGGCTCACGAACCTATTGAACACGCCACTTATACACAATGCCGAACGTATCAGATAATATTTTATCTGGTGCCACAATCCGGCCGATAACACTGATAGTTTTAAAACTAAACTGTGCAAGAACGGCCTATTCGTTACGATTAAATACAGATATTGTCTGCCGACTGTTGATAAGTAATTTCTTCAGGAAGATTATATACCCGAAGACTAATTTTCACGTGTTTGTTGCAGGTGTCGCTATGCGTATGTCTGACCCTCGCGACGGGGCTGCCCGCCGCCAAGAGACAACCTCCACCTCTGCCTCTGACGCTCACACACGACAACGATGATGTCCTAGCCGGAAGTGACTTCCTGTCCGTGTTCATGCCGCGGATGAGGGAGTCAGACCGGCCCTTCGAGCCTCACAGCCCTCAGTACGCGCTCAACTCCGTGGGACACCTCGCCAACCCCTTCCAGAGGATATCCGACAAGTACTCCCGATACAAGACGGCTAAGTACAGCTACAACACGCTGGAGATCGCTCCCACGATAGACACAGAGACTAAGACTACAACGCTCTTCACGGAACCGACTACCGTAGAAGACGCTCCTACTACGAGTAACTATGTTTACGAAAGAAATCCTGACTCCCCTAATGAAGTAGTACAAACTGACCCTCCAATTGAAGAGGAGACTACGAAATTAGAGACTACAACGGAGCAAATAGCTACAGAAAAAGTAGAAGAAAAGGTTATTTCGGTGAGGGTTTCGTCCTCTGTGGCACGACATTCGTTTAGGACTATAGAAACATCTACGGCGAAAAGCGTGTCTAGAGTGTGGACGAAGCACGATGATGAAAATCTTGTAAGTACTTTAGTGACTCAAGAACAGCCAACAATAACAGCGGTTCAACGAAGTGAATTCGGTGTCGAAGAAGCGCCTTTACCAAACTCAAGGAGAACCATTACAAACAAACAAAAAGATGAAACAAATTATGAGAAACAAGAGGAAATCGAAGGGAAGGTACAAGAAGTGTCTGTTTACGGCAATGACGAGCAACAATTACCTAAAGGAAAGTTACCGGTGTTCGAAATACATTTTCACAACCCACCAGCAGCTTTGATATCCAACTACGGTTCCAAACCGGATACTGAAAGAAACGAAGATGCTCATCAGTTCAGAAGGAAAGAATTCAGACAGCTTTCCCATCCAATAAGCTACCAATCCAGAATATCTTCTCCGACATCGGACAGTAGCGTTAATTTTTACAGAGAAAACCCAAGAAATAACTACCAAGCTGCACAAGACTCAATCAAAAACTACCAACCATCATCAGATCCTTTTAGTAACTATAAACCTACGTCAGATACAAAGAACTACCAACAAGCTGCAGAAAATCCGAGAAATTACCAAACTTCTGCAGAAGAAGTAAGGAACTACCAAGCTCTGGCAGAAACACGTAGAAACTACCAAACTACAGCAGAATCTTCAAGGAGCTTCCAATCTGCACCAGAAACACGGAAGAACTACCAAGCAACAGCTGAAGCTAAGAGAAACTATCAATCCACAGCAGAAACCGTAAACCAACCGGTTATTTCCCAGCCTTACCCACCCGCTGCTTACAGGAGCGATGGCAACTCTGATGATTCTGAATCAAGATACCAGGAAACACCAACTCGCAACGAAGAACCCAAGGAGCAGACTTATGGAGAGCCTGAGAAAGTTTACGGGCAACCAGAAGTCAACTACGAAGTGGACGAAGCCGTCAGTGTGATCACAAACGGCAAAGCCCACGGTGTCCAAGTACCCACACCTCCACCCATGCAGAGTCCGTCGAACCAGGACGATCCTTCGGGGCAGAACAAGTTTGGGTACGTCGTGGAGGGAAGGAACTTCAGGAAGTACCGAGTGGAGGAGCGGACGGCGGACGGGTTCATCGTCGGGGAGTACGGAGTAGTCAGCCACGACGACGGCAGTCTCCGAGGAGTGAGATACACCGCAGATAGTACCATCAACCCACGACTCATCTACGACACCCTCGTCAAGTTCCTATCCCTCAAGTAGTTCCTGCGGTCAAATCAAAACCAGTGAACGTCCACGCTGACAAGCTCACGTAAATTTAGCCAGAATAGATTAGTTTTCGGAACGTAATATAATCCTGTGATATTTATTCCTAGTTGAAACTGTTGCTGGTGCAGTGTTGTGTCCCGTTGGTTGCCTTCGTATGTGCGGCATATGTTAGAAAGCAACGTACTGTAGCTCGTGCTGGTGCGACGACCCGGGATCTGACGCCTCAGGCCCTACTGTGCACATCGCATTGCTGTGTTAAGTCTACTGTATGTTACACATTCCATTGCTGTCGTATCTACTGTACTTTACACGTTTAATTGCTTTGTTATATCGTGTAGGACTCGAGACATCTGACTCGGCTTGTTGCCTAGCTTCCTTGCATTTTTTTGTACGTCTTGTCTTAACCAGAAGTAGCTTTAGTTTTGCAACGTATTGATCTATTTATTTCGCTTCAGTAATTTTCTTTACAAGTTCAATTTTTAGATAGTTATGCCAAAATAATACGTAAAAAGTTGTGTATTATAAGATTAATTCAGTAATATTAGGCTTTATTAGTACACAGCCATTTGATGAGTGTTAGATGTACGTGACATATTATTGTATACTGTACTTGTACACCAATTTTTTACAATGCAAAAGTTAAGCTTTTGTACATACACGTTTCTTTACTCTTAAAGATAAAATAAAATTGTCTTGTTCTCTGTATAACGTTAAATAGTCAATGTATAGTTAATGTTTTGCTCAAAATATTTTCACATTTTCTCGGTATTGGTAACCATTACATTTTTTTACAGATTTAGGACACTCAATATAGCTGTAGAAAAGATATGTCTGCCATAGTTAATTTTAAGCTTTGCCACACGTCTTATTGTTTTTAAATTCATCAATTTAGCCTATTTGTAAGGATGTAATTATACGCTTCTTGTGACTTTTTAACATAATAAGACCTTTGTGAATATCGGCTCGAAAGCTCGATATTTTAGTATTTCGTTAAACGAATATTGTTAGTTTAGTGTGACTGAAGTGAACATGACTGTGCAATAAAATGTTGTACGAAATTATTATGTTCTTGTTTTTGTACTTTAAAAATATTTCCTACGTATTAACATTTTAGTTATTTCTATGAGGCTTGGATATAACTACTTAAAAAAATATACTTTCCGAACGATAAGTCACTAAGCCAGGCCTAAGTATTTAAGTGACAATGAGAACCTGAAAATGTGCAATATGAAATGATAATGAGACTAATGTTAGAATCTCACACTTAATGGCTTTCAATTTATAAATTTTGAATCAACTTATAAATATTTATTTACTAGAAAAAGTGATTTATCAACTTCTGCTTATCTCCTAGCAAAGGTGGATACTGTATAGTGTAAAAATGAGGGGTACACTATATTTAACATCAGCAAAGCAAAGTTAAGCTTTGTTAGGCATCAAGTAGAAAATAGGCTTTAGATTTTACATGATGAGCAACCTACTTGCACTACAAAGTATATTGCAAGGAAACATACAGTAAATTTAATCATAGGCAAATATAATAAATATAGACTGTAAAAGGAAGCTTCCGGTGCCCACCGCTAGGAGTGCCGAGTAGTTACGGCGTACACCGCTGCAGGCAAGGAGCCGTGTGCTACCAGCAGACGCTGCAGCGGTGTGCGCCGTAACTACACGACACTCCTAGCGGTGGGCACCGGAACATATGCTAACCGCAGCACTGCTGCCAGTCTACATTCATTCTATTTGTCTATGATTTAATACACTTGAAGATGAAATCATAACAAACATCGGAGCCTCATTTATCCAATTCAATCAAACACAGTTTGAAACAGACCCCGTTATGTAAGTGAATCAAATATTGTGTATAATTAAGGCTCAAGGCTTTCCGCATTCCGTTAGTAACATGACGCAGTAGGGCCAACCCACATAACCCGCTGAGAGATTGCCAGTTCTATTGTCAATGTATTTGTAAGGTTGGCAGCGCTATTGTTCGAATGTGTCTATGATGTTTGTTAGCCTATTTAAAACTGCCTGACCTCTCTATGAAGCATGATGATATCACGAAAATATTTGTTTTACAAATGGCCCAGGATGTGAACACCTCTTTTAACCCTACAATTGTAAACAGGTCCCTGCGAAATAGTAGTTTACGCAGCGATTGCGTAAAAATAGTGTTAACGACACGAGTAGAAAATTTAAGGTAAGTCACTACTTCTAAGAGAGGTTATGTTTTCGTTTATAACCTCTCATTGCCACTGACAGTGATGCAACGAAACAATGTACCAATCACTAATTGCACCACTCAACAATTAAATTGACGAGAACAGCTGATTAGTTGAAGTTCGAATCATTACTAATTTACTTCTTCCATAATAATGCTTTAACCTCAGTGGTCCGTTACTCGTGTTGTTATGAGTAAAACTATGCTGTTATGTGAAACTTTTCAGTTCTAACGACTGAACTGGAATTATTACTTAAAAAAACGATCGTAGGTAAAAATGTTGTAGGTTTCTAATTTAGATTAGAGTTTATTTTTATGTATGTTTTTATGAAAGTCATAATGCGTCTATCTATTAATACAAATCAATCAACGATGGTTGGCAACCAACTATGACTTGGTAACGATAAATATTAAAAGTAATAGAAAGTCCTAATAGAATGCCCGCCCATGCTTCAACAATCAACAGTATACAGCCACAAGAAAAAGTAAACAACAGTGTGTAAACAATTAGCAACTAGTATTACGATTGCAACACAACAGTCCAAATTAAATTCCAAATTAGATTTTTCTAAATCCACTTAATTTTCAGTTGCACAGAAAGCCAGGATACAATACAGATAAAATTATAGTATATTTCACTACTAGTGATAAATATTTATTTTTGAATCTAGTGAGCAAAAAGATTTTATCGAGTTTAGAAATGACCTTTCGAACTCGAGCTGCACATTGTATGTTGTCTACAGATTTTTGTCTGTGGCAATTAAATTATTATTTGTGTAACTGAGCCGCAGGCGAGTGGGAAAAGTTGGAACTTTGCACTCGTGTTACACATTTTATTTTCCCCACAGTTACTATAAAGCATAGAAATAATTAGTCTTTCAAACCACTAAGCAACACGTTTTAGGTTAGGTTAAATCCATGCGTTGAACTTAATGGGAAACGCATTTATATATATACATATATGTATATATATACATATATATACATTTATATATACATTTATATATACATTTATTTATTTATATGCCCGCTGATCGTGGACCTAGTATCTTTAAGTGTTTAAACCTTATTTTCAAGCGTACACGTAAAAGTCTTATAAAACCACACTATTTTGTGTTGTTTGGTTGGAATACAAGTAAGCGGCAATAAAAGAGTGAGGCAAAAGTAAATGCAGCAATTAGCAACTTTCTGTACTTCAATCAGTGCAAGGAAGCCCGCTTTGTCTGGTGACTGTAGGAAAAAATATTTGTGTATTTAACAAACTTACTTACAAAATTAAGGTAATGATTTTTGTGGATGAGCCTCATTATTGGAGATTCGGATCCAAATGTACCCAGGTGTATGTTTATTACTACAAAAGTATTTGTTTTTCAGCAAAAAAAAAATAAAAAAAAATTTAGTTTTTGACTTTTTTTGTTTTTGTTAGCTATATTAATTCTAGATCACGTGACAAGTCATTGACTGATACGTGATACGCGACCTTGATATGACCTTGGGGAGGTCGCCCTGAGTGACGTCATATAACCATAGATCTTGTCCTCCAGAGTCCGTAGCCTCATAAGTCTCCCGTAATAGACATTTTATACGAGCCGCCTACTATGACCACTACGATGTCTTTATCGCAAAAACAGTTTGAGAGTCATTCATTATACTCAGTGTGGTTTGTGGTTTGACAAATGGGAGCATTGACTTTACCAAATCATACATCATCATAAAACAAACGTTTATGGATATGTCATCTTTTTGGATCAGCTGGAGACAATTTAAAGATATGTTGCTGTCTAACCCGTGTTAATTATTGTATCTATTTCATAGGTTAATACTTGTCAAATATTAATATTTCGTTAGTTTTATTACAAAACAAAATGAAAAGCTATAATCGTTTTTCAACCCCTAAAACGAGAGGGGTGCGTCTAGGAACTACAAGAACGCCAAATTAGACACATCGTATTAGCTAAATTTATAAATAGCGTACGAATTTTACTTGCACCATACATCTTTTTGAGGTTACTTGTGATTCCACCATTAACACTTTTGAGGGAGGGAGGAGATGTGTAAAATGTGTTAGGATGTGGAGTAAAAAAGTACTTGAATAATTCTGACTTAATTTTGACAATCATTTTGACGTTAAACCAATGTTTAATTCGTTTGAAGTTTACTACAGAAAAAAGTCAATTAAATACTTAAAATTAAGTATTAAAATATAATTGAGTTTTAAAATCTAATTTTATATAAAGAGAAGGTTAATACTGGCCTCTAATAAGTCCTCTTAACTAATCACTCTAAATAATAATATTAAGTAAAATTTCCTTTACTGATCAATTGTTTCTTATTAGGCTACAGAAATTGTTTTGATTTAAAACTACATAGTAAAATAATACGTACACATACTAACATGAACCTAAATAAAACTATATAGTTTACAAAAAACCGTAAAATAGCAGTAGATGTCTTCTAAAGAGGAGTTTTGGTGGCATTTCGCAAAAATGTTTCTTAGTAAACACATTAAGTCTGGATAAGAACGTCCATGCTAGGTTTCTGTAGATCTTACAGATTTTATACCAAACTGTTAACATAGTAAAGGGTTTATACTGGATATTAAATAAATAAAACTTTAGTTCCTGGGGACCGAGCAATGGCTTGGTACCTATAGTTTATTTCCATTATACCCCTATTTCGAGTAATCTACAATGTAATTTCTGCTCAATAGTAACAACTGATGTTTTTCCCCTTTGTACTGTACTTTGTAATTTGCTAGTAGACTGTGTATGACTTGTTATAAACACATGTTGCAAGTATTTTGTTTACTTTTTCCTTGTTATTTTGTTCAACCAACATGGTTACTTGGCAACCTACAGGCCAATGTTAAAAAATGTTAAAAATTACTTTCAATTGAATTTTTTTACGCAATTAGATTTTTTGTCAGTTTTTGCAGTAAACACGTTTTAAGGCCAGATAAAAATTATTTACAAAATTCGGAGGAAATTGTCGAAGCCGTTTTCGAGATCTTTGTGCAAGCATACATACATACATACATACATAGAAGCATACATACATACATACATAGAAGCATACAAGCATACATACAAGCAAACATTGCTCATATAAGAGTATAAGATATTGCATTAAATAGTGTTTTTATGTAGAATCTTTTTTTCGTGAAAATAATCATAAAGGACTCGTAAATACAAATTCCTCCCCACTTTTTTAAATAGTCTCCCATAAAAACGAGAACAGAATCTGGTCATCCTCCGCCTTATTTCCATTATCTCATTCGATAAGGCGAACACACAAGGATGAGATTTAGTAGGCATGCAAGTCTAAATATAGCAGCACAATAATTTGCAGTCGCACATCACAGAAGATTTGTCGCGACCAGGTGGTAGGTGGTAGGTAGTATGTGTGTGTGTGTGCCCGCCATATGTTCCCGCTAATCTGAGTTTCTCAGTTTCCGACCACTCGACCGCCAAGGACAGTTGGTCGTTTATTTTCAGCAATTGGTCGTTGACCGCGGGCGCCTACACCCCGACTGCCCCTGGTGACACTTGGAGTAACTGATGTTGATTTAGAGTAACTGGTATCACTTTGGAGTAATTTGTGTCAGCTTAGAGTAACCGGTGTCACTTGGGAGTAACTGATGTCAACTTAAAGTAACTGGTACCACTTTAGAAACTGGTGTCACTTTGTAGTAACTAGTGGCACTTTGGAGTATATTATGTCACTTTAGAGTAAGTGGTGCCAAATTAGAGACTAACTGTTGTCACTTTGGAGTAACCAAAATCACTTAGGATAAGTGGAACCAATTTAGAGTAACTAGCAGTACTTTAGAGCAACCAGTGT